GGTGCCGGGGCCGTGCAGCCCCGGGGAGGGGACGGGGAGTCAATAAGCCCCCCCCGCCCCGCTCCCCCGACATTGCGGGCTGTGCCCTCCCCGCTGCTGCCCCCAGGGACCTGTGGGGTACGGTGAGGGACTCCACGGGAACACGAGTCACGGGCACCTGGGTGGCATTTTGTGGTGTGAGGTGCCCTCAGTGCCACCAGCAGTTCCCCCGCCGCGGGGGCCGCGACACCCCCTGCCCATTTACAGCCCCCGAGCAGAGCAGGTGTCTCCAGCTTGGTCCCCTCCACCACCCAGGCTGTCAGCGAGACATTCATGTGGATCCGCTGCCACAGTCAAGAGATGATGCCGATTATCCATACTAAATTTTAATTTACCGCCTGCCAAAAATGCCAGCAGTGAGGTTAAAAAACATCAATGGCTTTCTGGTGATCCATACTGCCGACATCACCAGGTCCTACTTAATAACTAAAAAAAATCTTCTAGCAGTTGAGGCCATCTATGAACATAAACGTTCCGACTTCAATATTTTTCTAAAGTCACAACAAAATCTCCTTGTCAGGCATGTGGAGAAGATCTTGAAAATGCAAGTTCAATGTGCTAAAATTAATCAGAAGGCAAATGAAAATGACCCCAAAAGAGGTATGAATAGCAAGCCCAAAGGTGGATAGCAAGGTGGTATATAAGCGTCATCACAAACTGGGTCAGGTCTAAACCCCAGCAACACTTACAGAATAAGGGTGGGTAAAAGGCTGAAATACACTCTGTTCCCGTCAAGAAAACAAGGAAGGAAAACGGAATAAGTTGGTCATCCTACGGCCGAGTTGTGAACCACCTCAGAGGGATCAGAAGCAACACTTAAGCCAAATGTATGACCTGCAGAGATCTTGTGACAGTAGAAAAAGCAGTAGACAAAGCCTTGCCCAGCACTTGCAAACGTCCGTGCTCCACTCATTTTTCTGATGCTTTCCTGCAGACACGTGACAGCAATCCCCAGGGTTTCATTCCAAGGCCCTCACCCTCTTCTTCAGGGTACTCCAAATGCACCTGAAAGAAGAGCACTGCTGCAGCACTGCTGCTCCTGCCGTGTTCAGGGGACCTGGGCAGGACATGCCCTGCGAGAGGTCCCAAAGTGAGTCAGGTTGGCACAACACAACTCCCCCGTGGAGTAAAGTCACACAAGGGCTTGCATTATGATTAAAATAACATAATTCATTCCCCCATTTACTCCTGTGCAGCAAAACTATACCCTGCTCTTTATGCAAGGCTCTTGACAGTCCCGGAAATGTTGGTGGCATTGATTGGGATAAAGAGAAATTATTAAAAAGACTTTTAAATTAAAATAAGCCACTGGACTCTGCTTTGGCAATGAAAACTCAACAAAAGAAAATCACCAGTCAGCTCCTATAACATCCTCTCTATGGGGTGAGAAACCTAGGGGAGTACTTGGCCCACTTCAGTGAAGATTCTTCTCATGAGGCCTGCATTTGGAGTATGAGGTGATTTATTAGATTAAGGACTAATCAGTCAACCAAGGGAATTAGTGAGTTTCTTTGCTCTGAGACATTAAAAACTGAACTAGTTGAATTCATCAAAAAGTCCCATTAACAAGGGGAGACAATATCTTTTTACAAGTGGTTCCTTCTCTAGTATCTGTGGTACTATGGGTTTAAAAAGAATGGTGTACAGTAATTCCAGGTTTTCATTATGAAAGCTAAAAGATTTTGCTTTGTGACTTATTTTTAAAATATTACATATTCTGTTGTTACTGGCTACTTCTGTGGGTATGTAGCCTCGTATCTTCTAATTATCTCACATAAAGTCTACCAAATTTCATTGTTAAAAGTGTTTATTTAAAATACACCCCCTTTAAAATGTACAACAAAAGCATTAAAACTAATGATTTTGTTGGACTAAAATACATCATTTAACTGCTATAGGCACTGTCGGTCTGAAATGCCTGTTTCTTTAAGAAAGATCAATAATTGCACAGTTTGACAGGTCAGGTTGTAGCAATACAGGGACCATCCACAGGCAGGCACAAGACAGTCATGCAACTGACCGAAAACTACTATGTGCTCAAATAAAAAGCAGAGATATCTAGCCCTTACTAAAGGAGCTATTTCACTACCTCAGGCAGAAGGAGGAATCAGTGTATGTGTAGTCTTCTTGTGACTTGCTGGAAGTCAGTCATGCAACTGACCGATAACTACTATGTGCTCAAATAAAAAGCAGAGATATCTAGCCCTTACTAAAGGAGCTATTTCACTACCTCAGGCAGAAGGAGGAATCAGTGTATGTGTAGTCTTCTTGTGACTTGCTGGAAGTTGCACAAATTCCATACAATAGAGCGCAAACAACTTCTACTAGAAAAGCTGGCATCAAAATGGTCCTATACGGCAAAGCTTGGAACTGGATTCAAGCATTGCTGAACTTCATGCCATTCCAAGTTCTGGTTCACGATCCAAAATCTTCTCCAACTAGAACAGCACATACTTGGCATTTAACCGTTGGTGCACAGGCTTACGGCAAAATACCTGGTTTTCCTAAGAATGCAATTTGTGATGACTTCTGGCTCTATTTGTTATACACACACAACACAGACAATACAACAATGCATGTGCAAAGCACCAAGGTTTTAATTAGTTGACATACTACCTTCATCTCCAAAAACACAACTCCAAATCTATTGAGACAATAACGTATCTCCATTTACTTCACAGAATACTAAAACGTTAGGTGACAAAAGGGAAAAATCACAGAAGGTGTCTGTTGTCAGCAGAATCACAGCGTAAGGAAGAGCTGGGCAGTAAGATGTGGGCTTTACTTTACACTTCACAGTAATGAGAGGGGCAGGGAGACGAACAGAGATAAGGGTGTGCTAAATCCCGTGCAAGGATGGTATCTGCATAGCATCAGCTTCTTCCTTATGATCAGGGTGATGAAATCATATGTGTGGATTTTAACAACCATTTAACAAATTGGTTACTTAGAATGTCAAGGATCAATGTAAACATTTACAGTCAATTCAAATTGTACAGGTTTTGTCATCCAGAAAATGATTAGGTTGTCCTGTCTGTCTGGGAATGAGCAATAGATCTTGTGTGAGATAGCAAACTCCAGCATCAGTGTTAAACATGATCATGGTTACAATGCCTTGCTCCGGGGTTTATGTTGTTTGGAAAAAGCAACACAAAGTATTCCCAACTGATTTCTGTATCCCAGTCAGAAAAGTACCATGCAAATTATCAAAATTTCTTGTTAATCTGGGGATAAATCCTAGCTCCAGTGGTATCAGTGTAAATTTATGCAATTGGTTTGGAGCACATTTTATACATTAAGTTTTCCCTCTTAATTTTCTTCTCTTCCAGTTCTGGTCTTTGTTTCTTAAAGCCAAAGTTTAGCTTTGAAAAAAACCCTGCAATTATCCATAGTAAGCTTTCCAGCATGGGCTTCCCCCATTCTGTTCCCTGATTTTCCAGAGATGTATGTCAGCAAGTCACAAAACCAGACGGGGGGGTATGTATACAAAAACTCTTCAGGAGCTGAACGTGCTTGTTCACCAGCATGCTCATGAAGCATAAGGTGTTTGTATGTGCAGAAATGTACAGAACAAATGTAAAACCTAATCCAGCTGAACATTAGAAATCCTTGTTGATTTCTGTGAAGCAGAAATTACTCAGTGCCTTTGAAGATACCATCAGGACTTGGCAAGAAGAGAAGGCTGTGTTCCACAGGACGCCGAGTACGTGCACATACTGAAGTGCTTGGGAAACTGTTCCGAATCTTCCAGGATTTGCTTTCTTTTGAAAATCCTGCCCTGGGATTCAGTAATCAACAAAATTAGCCCTGCATAGGCTTCTTGTCATTGGAAATCAGCCTTGATGGGGCTTTTCATGATGAATAAAGATTTGGTCATAGTTCAGACTCAAATTCCTCAGGAGTGCTTTAGAGTTCACCCAGTCTTAAAGCTTGAGTAATTAAAAAAAATGAAGTAAGGCTTTGTACTGGTTATTCCCTAACTATGTTAATTGCATGACAAGTTGCAACTCAAATTTTATACAACAGAAACTTTTAATGTTTTTCCACTTGCTGAAACAAGATTTCATGGGAAAGTTATTTCTTGTTTTATCTCTGCAACATTTACACTTAAAACTTGCTTTATTTATTTTACAGGGTCTTAATTTCATTTCAGGCCAGACACCCACATGATAGTAAGGCTTTCATAACCTATTGATACAGATTTTCTGCAATCTAGACAACCATTTAAAACATTATGCTTGCCATTTCATTTTTTCCAGAGTAACCAAAAAGAGGCATGTATTTGATGAGGAGAGGAAATTATTTCACTAGTTTAACCAGTAGAAATGTGCAGATGCCTTACTCATATGCATAAATGGAAGTCTCTCAAATTCCATACAATAAAATAGAAAGTACTTCTGCAAAAGTTGGCATTATCTCTATGGAAAAGAGTTAAAGAGTAAATCCAAATACTAAATCCTTTCTGGGAATCCTGCCATAAAAACTTTGAGCAAGAACTTTATTTTATTTGAAATATTCAGAGCTGAGCATTAAATGATCCACAGAGAAGGAATGTATAGTGTAGTTGGTTTCCTGAAGATCCAGCAAGCCAAAATCTTTCTCTTACAAGTAACTACAATTCTAACAATCTTGTTGAAGCTTTGCCTGTATACATAAGAAGCAAGTTTTGCTCTAGATGCTTTTCACCATTAATTTTTTTCAATAAAAATTGTTCCT